ATTGTGACGCTTTGTACATGTGGTTTGAGTTTTCTATGTATGCTGTAACAACTTTTAGATCAACAAACCAAGACCGTACTTACACAGGATCATTTCTATAGTACCTTCTTTTCTACTTGACTTTCCTCGTAGACAATCTCAATAACTTTGATGATAGTATTCGACTTCATTCATTGACTCGGGATGTCGGTGGCTGCAGTGCTGGGTTCTCTTTTGAACTTGGTCTCCCCCTTGATGAACGTCCGCTGTCGCTATTCCAAGGCAGCGTGAGTGAGTGGAGTGATATGGATGAATATCATCACTTATCCGACCTTACTTAAGTTTTGTATGCTTCTGAACAACCTATTACAGACTTTAAATTTATTTTGGCCAATGGAAATACAGCATTACGTGTATTTTCACCTATAGAATTGCGTAGGGGTAGGGGGTCATCTTAACCAGTCAATCCGACGTATCGGGTCGGAAGGATACGAGAAATATGTGTATGCCTATTCTAAAACTAAGTGACGGACGTATCACTTGCATATTTGCAATACATCCGACAGGATGGGACTGGACGAGCTTAAGCCTGGAAACACAAAACGAGCTAAGGCAACCGCCATCGCAGCGTTCAAGGCTGTTGTAAAGAGTGAGTCTGTAGACTTTGAGTATGTCAGGAGTTGCATTGCGAAAGATGATAGTGGAAAGTCATTTGTGTCTATATTGGATATGTTTGGCATGTATCTTGCCTTTAAGGAAGGCAAGAAGGGTAAACAGCTTGCCCGCAACACTGCCATGTAGTATTATAGACAGACTAAGATGTGGCTTTTCGAGCTCTTCCCCACGCAGCGGCACATTGTCGAGGCAAAGTTGCTAAGTATGGGGAAGACGCTGGAGAACTTTTGTATGAAAAGAGGCGGCAAGGTAGTGAGCAAGGCGCCACCATGCACGAAGGCAGATTTGCGTAGAATGATGCTATACTTGTATCAGAATGCGACTACCTCAAGCGACTATCAAGATGCAGCGCTACTATGTATGCTGTGGTATATGTTTGGACGCGCTTCCGATATCTCTCTCGTCTAGAAGCAGAATCTCACCATTGACGCCGCAGACATCCTGTTCGTGCGCTTCATTCGGCTCAAGACTTCTGAGGAGCAAGGCTTGTCGCTGTTTCCCGACGAAGACTTCATCACGTGCCCGGTGTACGCTATGGCTCTGGCACTCATGGTGCAATACGCTCCGTGCGTCGACTTGCTCGATAATCTGCCGCCGCTTCCTGTCGAAGCTTCTGTATCCTTGTCCCCCGCGACGCCGCTCCTGGAGATACTCGACCATCCTGATGACTACGCTGCACTTGGTGCTGTGGCTGCTGCAGCGGACGGAGTAGTCGTGACTGGAAAGACGCCAACCATTTACTCCCACGTTAACAGAGTTCTTGACCGAATCGCTGTCGCCGCTGGTATCGAGGTCGCCCTCGCTTCTCATTCCTTTCGCCGAGGCGGAGCGCAGCACGTCAACGGTTGTGACGGCCTCACGCATCGCTGGATTTTCGACCGTGGTGCCTGGAACATGAGTACAACAAACAAGGGGTTTAACTACATCTTCAACACAAGCCGCGAAAATCACAAGGTTAGCAAGGCTCTCAGCGGATACGGCAGAGAAGCGAGGGTACCTTTTGAAGGACTTGAAGGCCTTTGATGCACACACACAGGAAAAAATCGCAGCTGTCCAGCAGTATTTCTTCGCGACGTGCCTAAAGGCTAGAACGAGTCCAATACAACGTGAGTCACCGTGTTCTGGACGTTCTAACAACTTTACCTGTTGCTGCATTATCCCCGGGTTTCATCCTGGATGGACCAGCTGTAAAACGCATC